ATGATCACAGAGTGGAATGCCTTTGCATAGTCAGTAGGCATCTTCCTGGTATTCTCTGCTTTCAGCCAAGATCTATCTGATAATAGCAATGATATCCCTCATTCCATGTCATATTCTGAATCTGGCAGCTCCCTACATATTTTTGCAACCATTTCTGAATGATTTTCAGCAAAATTTTACTTGAATGTGATATTAATGTTCAATAATTTCTGCATTCTGTTGGGTCATGTTTCTTTGGAATTAGCACAATATGGATTTCTTTCAGTCATTTGGCCAAGTAACTGTCTTCCAAATTACTTGGTGAAGGCTATTGAGTGCTTCCAGTGTTAGATTTGTTTGTTGAAACATTTCAATTGATATTCCATCCGCCTTACTTTCCATCATTGCAACATCTTCCTTCAATACATCAGTTTTGATCATATGCTATCTCTTAAAGGCTGAATGTCATGTCAACCAATTCTTATTGGTGCAGTGACTGTCTTTCTTCCACCTTCTTTGGATGTTCCCTGCATTATTCAATATTTTGTCCTTCAAAATTGCAAGTTGATGCTTGAGTATTTTCTTCAGTTCTTTCAGCTTGAGAAATGCTCTGCGTGTTCTTCCCTTTTGGTTTTCTAACCCCAGGTCTTTGCACATTTCATTATAATACTTGATCTTCTCAAGCTGTCCTTTAAAATCTGTTTCAGTCATTTTAGTTCATTCCTTCCATTAACTGTAGCTTCTATATGTTGACTAGCAAGTTTCATTGTCTTTTCCAGCATCAAGTTGCTCTTATTTTCTTTCCTCTTTTTAGTGACCTTTTGCTTTCTTTATGTATGATGATCTTGATGTTATCCCATAACAATTCGGCCATTCATGTTCAGTGCATTAAATCTGTTCTTGAGATGGCCTTTAAATTCAAGTGGAATGTCCAAGGTCACATTTTGGCTCTTGTGCACTTGCTTTAATTTTCTTGAGCTTCAATGTACACTTGCATATGAATAACTGATGGATGGTCTGTTCCACAGTTGGCCCATGGCCTTGATTTTGCTGATGATATTGTTAACAGGTAACGGAAAAACAAAAGACAAATATGAAAATCCCTGCCTCACAAAATTTACATTATGCTGAGAGGCAACAAGCAAATGCAGTATGTTATAAATATACAGGAACTTGTGGAAATTTTTCATTATCTCTTAACTCCATGTTTCCACAAACTTGAAGTTCTTTTATACTATGGAGAAAAATAAAGCAATATGAGTGGGGGAAAGTACAGGTAGTTTTGGGGTTGGTTGTGATTTCAATTACAGTGATTAGGGAAGGACTCTTTGGTAAGGTAGCTTTTGAGTAAGATCTGAATGAAGTAAAGGGAAAACCATTCAAGTATCTTGAGAGGGAACAATGCCAGGCAGAACAGTAAGAGAAAAGGCTCTGCAGCAGGGACCTACATAGCAAGATGAAGGAACAGACAGCAAGGAAATCAATGGAATTGACTAGCCTGGAGTCAGTAAGTAAATAAATGTTACTTTTGAGTCAACTTTGACTCATAATGGCAACTGGATTGTTGCTGTTGCTGCAACTGCATGCCATCAAGTTGGTTCCAAGTTATAGCAACTAGGTAGTGTTTCCAAGGTTTTAAATCTTTATGGGAGCAGAAAGCCTCATTTCTTTCCTGTGGAGCAGCTGGTAGATTCACCTTGCAGTTAGTAAGCCAATGTGAAAATCAGTACACTACCTTGCAAGTGGATATGAGGGACTGAGAGCAGTCGGAAACAAAGTCAAAAAAGTAAAAGATAAAAGTCAAAGTTTTAAAAAATGATCTACAAGGCCACTTGATGTGTACTATTCAATAATGTAATCTATTAGCCACAGTTGTTATTAATTTAAATATAAATAAAATGAAAAATTCAGGTTCTCAGTTGTACTAGTCACATTACAGTTGCTTAATAAGCATATGTAGCTGATGGATATATTAGGCAGCATCGACATAGAACATTTTCATCATCTCAGAAAGTGCTTTTAGACAAGTGTGCTCTTTATCAGTGGTTCTCAACTGAGGGATTTTGCTTCCCAGATTCATATGGCAATGTCTGAGATATTTTTGGTTGTCATAGGTAGAAACCAGGTAGATTGTTAAACATGTGATAATATAGGACATGTCCCTACCACAAATAATTATCTAGCCAAAAAATATCAATAGTGCTGTGGTTGAGAAACCCAAGTCTAGATCAGTCTTGAGTGCAACCCTAATGTCATTACTTATTGCTGCTCACTTGCTTAAACTGCTCCAACCACACTGGTCTCCTTCCTCAGAACCTCCATGGCTGCTTCCCTGGTTTACTCTCTTCTGTTCTGCAGGTCTCATGTTCATGGTCACCAGAGAAGTCTTTACAAAGTAGTAACATTTTATCTATCCTCCTCTTTATTTTTCTTCATAGAATCTTTTAGCTTTATATATATTTCCTTATTTGTCTGTTTAAAAGGTAATGGTCTTTTTATGATCCTTAGTATATAAAAAAGGTTCTGGCAAATAGTAGGTGATCAATAAGTATATTTTTTAATGAATGAATGAAAAAAAAAGTTAGGCATGACTTCCATCTGGGCCCACCAAGCATATAAAAAGAGGCTTCAAAAAGTTTTTGGAAAATAGGATTTTAAAACACTGTTTTTTCCACAAACTTTCTGAAGTCCCCTCATATGAGCACTTAGCATTATCTTGGAGCACTGGTGGTGCAAAGGCTCCGTGCTGGGCTGTTAATTGAAAGGACTTCATTCAAACTCAGCAGTTACAAAGGGGAAGAAAGAACTATTGAGCTACTGGTTTTTGTTTTTTTTTAAGGTTTTTATTGTGGATTGAGTGAAAGTTTACAGGGCAGATCATCAGTTTTACAATCAATAAATCATACACCTTGTTTCATTAGAATGATTATAATCCCCTCCATGTACCATCAGTTAACAGTATTTCTCTCTATCACTTTAGCTGGGTTTTTGTTTTTTTTTTAACTCAGGCATATATAATAATTTATGCCACCAACTATTGATCTGTTTCTGTAATAGTAACAGGATAGGACACCCTATGTGGCAGGGCTACTATGAGTCAAAATTGAGCTGACAGCATGCAAAAATGATTTCATCATCTATTTGTAACTCTTCCAAAGCTCTGTCTCCAATACCTAGCATAGTACCAAAGTCCAAACCAAATCCATTGCCATGGAGTCAACATCAATTCATAGCAACCGTACAGAATGTAGTAATACAGCATTTCTAAAGCTATATTTCACAGAAGCAGACTGCCACATCTTCCTCCCTGCTAGCAGGTTCAAACCTTTTGGTTAGCAGCCAAGCACTTAACCACTCCACCACTAGGGCTCCCTGTCAGAGTTGTTGAGTGCCCTGGAGTCAGTTCTTACTCACAGCAACCCTGTCTGCATAGGGTTTTCAAGGAGGGCTGGTGGGTTTGAACCACAAATCTTAACAGTCCAGTGTTAATTGTACAGTGCCACAATGCTTAATAAAAAAAATGAAGAACTGTTAACTAAATGGTCCCAAATGCCATCCAGTGGCAAATTAACCATGTTTTTAATATCGTATTTCAAAGACTATAGTTGTCTTATGACTGGTATTTAGCTCTGAGATTACACACACACACACACATCTGGATTTACAGATTTGTACGTTTTGACTACTAAATAAAAATACATTGATTGAATGTTAAAATGGAAGGAACCAATGTGTTAACACAAGTGACAATGTTTTAAACATCTGAATCCTCCAACAGACCATCATTGTTTCCCTCTCATGACTGTGGGTTGGCAGCCATACTAACAGTAACAATAAAAGCTAATATTTATTGAGCTCTTTTTAGGCATTAGGTACTATTCTTCAACTTCCCACTACCCCACAACCCTGAAGTGGATATTTTTACTAGAACCATTTCGATAAGAAATTGAGGAACAAAAAGGTTGCAGAGTTTGCACGCTGTCAGTAAATGGAATTGTAAAACCTTGGCAATCTGGTTTCCTGAGTCCCTAAACTTAAACTACCCGGGACACCGACTTTCCCAGGTCAAGCCTGCAAAAACAACGGCAACATCTGATCCCAGCAAGTCTGAAAGGAATGCCAATTTGCGGGCTGGCAGATGTGACAGGCTATGTGGTTTTAAAAATAATAACAATAAAGTCTTACTATAATGTTAAACAGAATGGAATTATTCTGAGTAAAATGTCCTGATGTGGCGCTGTGGGTTAAAGTGCCAGACTGCAAAGCCGTTTGAACTGCAAGATCGGCGGTTCAAGCTCACCATCGGCTCCTCGGAAACCCTATACAGGGTCGTTATGGGTCGGAACTGACTCTACGACACTTAACAACATGTCCTGGTGTGGCGCTGTGGGTTAATGTTCTAGACACAGTAAGGTTAGTTTGAACCGCAAGGTCGACAGTTCAAATTCACCAGCCGCTCTTTGGAAGCCATAGAAAAGGTCGCTATGAGTCGGAACTGACTTAACGGGCTCGTAACAACAACGTCTATGTAATCTAAGAGGATCAAATCACCGCTCCTCTAATTCAGAAGTGGCCTCAGAGGACGCTCTAGCGCTCCTGGGGGCCAGGCTGTCAGACAGCAGGGACTCGACTCTATTGGTCCGCCCCGCGGCATCACGGGTGCTCACGGTAGGCTGATACCGCACTTGTACAGCCCTCCAAGGCCCTCTTTTGGAGCACTTTCTGAGGAGGTCAGGTGATCAATTGCAGTAATCGGCCTCCTTTCGGGAGATCTCTTCGTAAACTTTGTAAACTCTGCACTTCCCCAAATGCCGGAAGCCCGGAACTGCGTGTCGGATCACCGTGTTCCCTGAGTAATCTCTTTGGCGATCACTTCCGCTCAGTGAACTGGAGTACCCGAGGCTCTTTGAAGGCGAACACCAAAAGAGGCACTTCCTGTGTCTGTTGCCAAGGCGTCGCCCTAGTGGGCCGGAGCGGCGATATATTTGCCGTAGTCCTCTCCCCCCTTCCTGGGGGTCGAGATGTCGGGGCTCAGCCACCCAGAGATGGACGGCTGTCGTAATCTGCTCGGTCTGTTGGAAAACGACGACATCATGGCCCTATGCGACACCGTCACCAACCGCCTGGTGCAGCCTCAGGACCGCCAAGGTAAGATTAGGTCCTTCTCCCCTAGACCCCAGTCCATCCCAAGTTGGTGGGCTTGTCCCGGAATGCGCTTGAAAATCTCAGCACCGCCTCTGCCTCCGGCTCTAGGACTCCGGTGGACCATGGCCGCTGAGGGAGCAGTGGAATTGAAGACGCGTTGCTTCCAAGTTTTATCTTTTGAATCTTATGGTCCATGTTTGTTGTTTTGACGACTCGGGGAACCTGGGATACTTTCTTTTTTAATTCGGATCAGCTGAGGTGTGTCAGCTGCTGCTCACGCGTCTTTTTCTTCAAAGCCTGGGGAAGGATATCATAAAGACTTTTTATCTGTCTTCTTGGTAAAAAGCATCATCTAATCAGTGTTACTATGGATCTGAAATTTTTCTAGATCATTTTGTGTACTGTTAATACATTTCTTTCAAAGCCAGATATATATTTCGCTAGACTCCAAAAGTTTTTTCATGCCTAATTGCTAAGAGTCCGAACCGACTGGACTCAATGGCATGAGTGTATCTTAACTGTTTATTTTATCACATGGCTAGTTTAATTTTATTGAATTTTACTGTACATTGTGAAATTGTGATAATTCCTATCGACTTTTTGAAATGTCAGACTCGCCCAGCCACTTCTTGGAAATGCTGTGCAGGGTCGCTCTACCTCGAAGACAGCACTAAAAACAACAACAACATATTAGTATATAATGTAAGTGCTTTGAAAAAGTATGCCTTTAAATTTCTCTGCTTTTTAATTGGAGTTAGATTTTTGCCATTTAAAAAATACCATTCAAATTTGAACTAAGGGATTTAGACCGAAAATAGTTTGATATTATGTAGTTCTTCAGCTTTTATGTATTTTACATGCTAGCCATGTAACAGTCATGATGAATGTGTACTACAGTACATCTCGTTTGGAGTCTTCCTCTTTTTCACTAACCCTCCACTTTACCAAGCATGATGTCCTTCTCCAGGCACTGGTCTCTTCTGACAACATGAACGAAGTGTTAGAGAGGAAGTCTGACCATCTGGCTTCTAAGGCTGTGCTTCTTCCAACACAGATTTGTTAGTTCTTCTGGCAGTCCATTGGTACTTCTAATATTCTTCTCTAATACCGTAACTCAAATGTGTGATATATACGGAATAGCAACACTTAACACAAGAAATTACTAGTATAATGAGGGTCTCAGGCCTGTGCAAGTATTGCCATTCTGTATATCTCAGTCATCTTTGGCTTGTGTTATTATATAACTTTGGGGAAAAAATTTAAAGCGAGACTGTTAGTCCTGATTCAGCCACTTTCTGGACATGTGATTGTTGACACTGCATTTATTCTATTTTTATTATCTTTAGTGTGAGTAGATTGGATTTTAAAAATGCATGCATACCTAAAATACTGTAGTTTAAAAATGTTTAGGGGTTGTGTATGAATTTTGCACCTTAATCTAAGAGAAGTGAAAGAAAGGGGAAGTTTTTGTTACGGAAGTTTAAAGTAGGAAAGTTTAGAAACAAACCATTTCCTATTTCTAACAAATTATAAACATCTCATCTAAAAACAGTCATTCTATGATGATGTTGTTAAGTGCCATCTTGTCGGTTCCAATTCATAGTGACCTTGTATAGGGTTTCCAAGGAGCAGATTGTGAGTTTGAAATGCCTACTTTGTGGTTTAAGCCGACCTTTCGATCCAGTGCATTATTCCACAGCACCACACCAGGAATCCAATTCTATGATAAGAACTTATAAATATATGCTGACTGTAGGAAAATGTACAAGTGACTTATATTTTTGTATTAATCTTTACAATTTTCTTTTTAGATGCCATTCGTGCAATATTAGTATACAGTCAAAGTGTAGAAGAACTTCTGAAACGTAAAAAAGTCCATCGAGAAATAATATTTAAGTACTTGGCAACACAGGGGGTGATAATACCTCCCACTACCGAAAAACATAATCTTATTCAGCATGCAAAAGATTACTGGAAAAGCAAATCACAACGGAAATTGCAGGAAACACCAAAACCAGTTACAAAGAGAGAAGACATCCACCTCTTTCAAAAAGTAAAGTAAATCTTAGCCATTGCTCTGTCTAAAATGCTTTAGATAATCTTACATCTTGGGGGACATGGTTAATAATATTTTATTGCATTCTTCTAAAGAACAAAAGAAAAATAAAATAAAAATTTTCTAATCGTTAGTAATGTATATAAAAGATTCTACTTATTTTTAACAATTTTATCTCTACAAAGTGAGAAATACTGGCTGTGGTGATTGTGTACCGAGGAGTTAACTCCTGTATAGTGTTTCCGAGTTTGTGAATCTTTATGGGAGCAGAAAGTGTCATCTTTCTAACATGATGATAACATCTTTCTAGTAGATTCAAACTGCTGACCTTACGGTCCATAGCCCAATCCGTAACCCGTTACACTACCAGGACTCCTTAAATGAGGAATGTTGTTGTTGTTAAGGCCATTGAGTTAATTCTCACCCATAGTGACCCTGTATAGGGTTCCCAAGGAGCAGCTACTGAGCTTGAACCACCAACCATGCAGTTCAAATGACTTTGCAGTCTGACGCATTAGGCCATAGCACCACACCAGGACTCCTAAATGAGGAATAGTGATTTTTTTAAAAAATAGATACCAACCCCATTACTATCAAGTCGACCTTACTATCAGGTAAAATTCCTATCCCATAGGATTACCGAGGCTGTAAATCTTTATAGCTCTGGTAGCGTAGTGGTTATGAATCGGGCTGCTAACCTCAAGGTCCGTAGTTTGAAACTACCAGCTGTTCCGCGGGAGAAAGATGAGGCTTTCTGCTCCCGTAAATATTTGCAGCCTCGAAAACCCTGTGCAGGGTCACTATGAGTCAGAAACGACTCCACGGTACTTAACAACAACAACAAATCTTTATAGAGCAAGCCACCACATCGTTCCCCTGGGGAGCAGCTGATGGATTTGAACCACTGACCTTTGGATTAGTATCCAGTCACTTAATCACTTGTACCACCAAGGCTCCTTAAAAGTAGATAAACTCCAGAATAAATTTAATTATAATTCAGACTCTTACTTTGGTATTACTATTTTTTTAACCTAAAATAATGCCATTATAACCCCTTCCTAATTTTTAAACTTTCTTTGTTATTACAGACATTCTCTGGGAAAAAAATGACCAGTTGATGTAATTAAAAAAATTTTTTTTATTAACTAGAAAAAAATGCTTTTGTAGTACTTTCTACCTCTTGAGCTTGGCTATTCCTATTTCTTTGTATCTTTACTGAATTTGAATGTAGGTTGAATGACTTGCTACATAATTTGTACATTTTTAAAACTACATACCACTCAGTTTACATGAATGAAAATTTAGGATGAAAGAACTTTGCTTTCAAGGTAGGAAAACTTTTTTTTTTTTTAATGTTTTTATTGTTTATTGAGTGAAAGCTTACAGGGCAGATCATCAGTTTGACATTAACCAAATCCTACACCTTGTTTCATTATAATAATTATAATTCCCTCCATGTACCATCAGTTAACAGTATTTCTCTCTACTCACTTTAGCTCTTTTTGAAAACAAAACAAAACAAAGCACTCAGGCATATATAACATTTTACACCACTGAACGGCACATTCTGCAAGTCTGCCTCCTGTCCACCAGCTCTTAGTCCCTTTCTTCTCATGAATCTGGAGTCCTCAGCTGCTCCCTCTTTCTTGTCCCCATCTCTGGTGTTGCTGCTTCTCTGGATAAGGTCTCACATTCTGCTTGTGCTCTTCTACCTTGATGGTCTTAGGGTCGGTCCTCTGTTTCTGGACTGTAAGATTAACCACTCCCTTGTTTTTGTTACAAAACTTCTACCTTTACAATTGTGACAGTCGCAAGTAGTCATGATAACAGTTACTCACTATTGAATCATAAGAATCTTATCCCCATCTCTTATCACCAGACTCAGCTAGACAAGACGAAAACTATTCAATGAGGACTGTATCTTCTGCCCCACACTCTTAAACTAAACTCCCTCTTGAAACCTTGTAAGCCAGTCACTTCTTGCCTTTATCACCCACTCATTTTAGGTAGCCAGTGTCTAAGTTGCCCGTCTGTATCTACTCTTTGTACAGAGGGGGGGGATAGCATTGATATTTGATGTAAAGACTCCTTCCCTCTCTGTTGGTATTTAGAGTTACTGCCTCCACGAATATAGGTCAGGTTCATCAAATTGTAACACTTTACCCTTGTTTCCTTTATTAAAAAAAAAAAAAAAAAATTTTTTTTTTCAATCTTCCTCTAGTCGAGTTGTGATTATCAAGCCATTGAAGCCAGGTCAGATGGGTACTGTCTGCAAGTTTGGGTGTTCTTGTGCATCTCCCCTCACTTCATATCAGCTGGATACTTCACTCTCAGCTCTAGCCCTCTGTGGCTATGTCCTTGGCCAAGGGCTCAGGTGTCCCCAGGTCTCACCACAATTTGGACCAAGCAATACTTCCTCTTTTCTTTCTCATCTCCAGGTCAATGGGAGTCAGTGGACTCAGCCCATTTCTTCATTGCTGCCTTTCCTCCTCTTCCACTCACCAGTAGACTAATGTGGTTGGCCAGCAAGGTTAACATGCCAACTCATGTGTTTCCTTTGAGTTTCAGTCTTAGAGGGGAGTTTGTCCTGAAGGAACTTGATTGCTTGCCTTGATGGCTTCCTGGCAAACAGCTTGCTTTTTTTGTAGTAGCCACTCGTGCTGACATTGTTGTTTGGGGTTTTTCCTGATGATATTTCTTTGAAGCTGTATCTTCTGTCACTCTAGCTGTTCCAGGCTGGTCTGCTTGTCCATACTAGTGGGAATGTCCCACCTCAGAAGTTTCTGGATGGGACACAGGATTCAACTTAAGGTGGAATATACTCTGCAAAGGCTCTGCAAGAGGCCTAATTCACTGGGCAAGTTCTAGAACCCCTTTTAGGTATTCCAGTCAGTTATAGGCTGAAGACGGTCTTACAAGTTTTCTGTAATCATGTTTCCCAACATTCCTTTCTATCCCACTCAAATTTCTATTTTACAATAGTAGGCAAGGAAAACCAATATTCACTAGACAGTCAAGCATCTTCGTATTATTTCCTCTTTTCATACTATGCCTTAGATTCCTGTATCACAGAGATCTGTTGTTCCAAGGTTGAGCATGCATGACTATTTACCTCTGTCCCACTTAGGCCGTGCAAACCTGTCTCAGAGTTCCCCTATCTATCTTGTTCTTCCACCTACTCCCCCTTCTTGTATTACCTTCCCAAACACCAGAACTAAACCTCCCACCCCAACCCCACTGGTGTGGTTACCTTATATTCCATTAACTCTTCCCTCTATTTAAGACAGTCTATTTTATCCTATAATCTACCTGATCTTCTCACCACCTGGATCTCTGTTCCTCTATGTTTACCTTATTTCACATTGTAATTATTTTGATCATAGACTGACCTCCCAGATCCTCTGTTCTTATAATTTTATTCTGTTCTTGACTCCTCCATTTGTCGATTGAGTTCAGGGTGATGCTGCCACGTATGTCAGTCTCTGGTTGTTGTCTGTTCTTGTTGGTTCTCAGTCCCCAGAATTTCCTTTAGGATGTTTTCCATTGCAGGGTTGGGTTTGGCAAAATCCCTAAGCTTCTGTTTATCCTGTAATGTTTTGATCACACCATTGTATTTGAATGACAGCTTTGCTGGGTAGAGGATTCTTTGTTGGCAGTTTTTTTTTTCTTTCAGGGTTTTATGTATATTTCCCTATTGCCTTCTTGCCTGCATGGTTTCTCTTGAGAGATATGAGCTTAATTTGATTTGCTTGCCTTTGTATGTTACACTTCTCTTTTCCCTAGCAGCTTTCAGGATTCTGTCCTTATCTTTGATTTTGGAGAGCTTGATTATTTTATTTCTTGGTGATTGTCTTTTAGGGTCTATCCTTCCTGGGGTTCATTGAGCTTCTTGAATGCTTATCTTTTCACTTTTCAGGATGTTAGGAAAAAAATTTTTCCAGAAGCTCTTGAGCTATCTCCTCTGAGAATTTGTGTGATTCTTGCTGTTCCAGAATGCCAATAAATCTTAAGTTATTCCCCTTCATGTTGTCCAACATGAATCTTAGACCTTCTTTGGATTTTTTAAGTCTTTTTTCTGCTTGCTCTTCTATCTTAGTAGTGTTGAGAGATTTATCTTCTAGCTCACTAGTTCTGGCTTCTGTCTCTTCAGTTCTACTCCTTTGCTCTTTCAGTATATTGTCTATTTCTAATATTCTATTATGAGTCGTTTGAACCTCTTTCTGTAGGTTTTGAATTGTTTCCAGTGCTGTATCTATCTTATTTGATTGTTCCTGTGCTTTTCTGACTTCTTCCTTATTTTTCTCAACTCCATTGTATAGTGTTTTGATACATTTTATAATCATTTTTCTGAATTCCTTCTCAGGCATTCCCAAAGCCTGTCTATCTTCCAGTATGGTGTGTGGGTGTACTTACAGCTCATTTGCCTTAGTCACTTTATCTCGTTTCTGGAGATGTGCTGATATGGTCATCTGTTTCTGTTTTTTGGGCCTGTTCAGTTTGTCTTGGCTTCTTACTTAGATGAATGTGTATTCTGGTATTTTTTTATGCTCTCTGATTGCCTCCAGGTAGATGTGATCAGGAGATTGGCTTCTCTTTTCACTCTTCTTCCTGAAAAATTTCAAGATGCCACTGTTGATTGTTATGACATAACTAAGGATTTAATTTTTGGCCTGTTTCCTTTTTAGTTTGCCTGTCCCACTCCACAACCCCTGTTCAGGTCTTTTTCCTAATGATAAACAGTTCTGGGCTGGCTGTGACCATTTTGCAATGCTGTTTGGTTTTAAATGGAAACTGTGCCTTTAAATTTCAAGGTGATCTGTGCCCATGCATTATAGAACCCTCTGGGGGTGGGGGTGGGGTGTCCACTCACTCAGGCACCCCCTGTAGTCACCAGAATGGAGGTGTACAGACAACGAGAGACCAATGAACAGATACAAAAAAAAGTATGCCCACGCCTTTATCTCCACAGTTCTCAGTTGTTCTGAAACTGTCCTGATCCTTTCCCCGCTTGGTCTCTCCCAAGATGGTGGCTCCAGGAGCAGCTGAGCATCTTGGATTAGAAAGCACTGGATATCTTGCTTCTGCTACAATTTCCCCTGGCTGTTGTAAGCCTTCCAACCTTCTAAAGATTCATTTATATGTGGTTCAGGGTTCTGGCACCATCCCCTGAGCCTGCTTGGTCTGGTATTCTGTGTTGTCGCTGACGGAGCTCCTCACTGCACTTCTACCCAATCTGACATCTTGTTTGTTCTCTGCCAAGAAAACATCTTTTAGGGATTTTTGTACTTAGTGTACTGAAAGGAGTGTTGACTTTGAAATAACACAAATGTCGTATCAAATTAGAATCTGCCATATACTATATGTGCTATCTTTGGCCAGTAATGACCTTTCTTCATATTTATGTTGTATGGCTTGTCATTAAGAACAGAGGGAAATATCCTTGGAAGCCAAGCAATAGGGTACTAAGCTCTGGAATATATAGATAAGATCCAGCCTATCAGTAATATTTTTGTAGTCGCATTTCCTTTGAAAAACAAGAAATGATAACTAAAAATTAGTCACAACCATAGACAGTAACGTATTTGAAACATGTTGAAAACATTAGAGAGACACTTATTAGAAATATCTATTTAAAGACAGTTAAATGTGTATTTATTATTATCAGCATTATTGATTAATCATTTATATGCAATAAACTGCATTCTCTTGAAACATACTGAGTTTTAACAGATGTATATATCTGGAAACTACTGTCACAATCAAGAGAAATGAGAGTAGTATGGTAATCTAGAGTAAATTATTATATAAATCATCACTGACCATTTCTTCATGGTCACATTTTAAGTGGCTTTTTTAAACCTTTTTAAGCTGACTTTTCAGCTGTTAAGCTGGGAAGTTTCCAAATAGTTTTTTTCCTTTGAAAAAAGCAGTTTTGCTATGCATGATGTTGTTGCTGTTATGTGCTATGAGTTATGTGCTATGTTGTTGTTGTTATGAGTCGCTTCTGCCCATAGTGACCCTGTCTAGGATTTCTAAAGAGCAGCTAATGATCTTGAACTGCTGACCTTGCAGTTGAAACAGCTTTGCAGTCTGGTGCCTTAACCCACAGCACCGCACCAGGACTCCTGGTGTCAGTGATGGGGTCAGTGAATTCACATGTAGTTTCAGTTTGCTTGGCTTTGATGAGTATATTCAAATTTAGCTCTGAAACATGCTCAGTAGAAAAATGGGATAAAAGTTAACTTTAGTTTTGTATCTTGTTTATTTTAACAGCAGGAGAAAGAAGATAAAAAAGCTGAAAAGGTTGATTTCCGTCGATTAGGAGAAGAATTCTGTCATTGGTTCTTTGAGCTTCTTAATTCTCAGAATCCTTTTCTGAGACCACCCCAAGCTGAATGGGGCCCACAGCACTTTTGGCACGATGTCAAGCTTAGGTTTTATTATAACACTTCAGAACAAAATGTGATAGACTACCATGGAGCAGAAATTGTGAGTCTTCGTTTGCTGTCACTGGTGAAAGAAGAATTTCTTTTTTTCAGCCCCAACCTAGATTCTCGTGGACTGAAGTGTGTGTCTTCTCCCCATGGGCTAGTTATGGTTGGAGTCGCCGGTACTGTTCACCGAGGGAACACTTGTTTGGGTATTTTTGAACAAATTTTTGGACTCATCCGCTGCCCTTTTGTGGAAAATACTTGGAAAATCAAATTTATCAATCTGAGAATTGTTGGAGAGCATTCCCTTGCTCCTGGAGCATTACATACACCAACTGTTACCTTTGAGCCACGTGATCTAGAGGCCTTTTATAATGTAATCACTTCACGTGATACCAATGAAGTATGACTTAATGGAAAGCAGGCAAAGAATACTGGAACTGGAGACCAATCTTTATACCCTGGAAATGAAGCAGTGTTGAACAAAAGAGAACTGAATTTACCTCTAAAGCACTGAGTACTATAAGTCATTATAAAATATCTTCTATACAGAAACTCTTCAAACTATTACGTCGGTAATGCCTAATTGATTTCAGGTGTAAGGATTGACATGTTTTAGTTGAAATACCTTTCTTGACTACAGATTGACATGTGAATACTTGCCTGTTTCTACATGAGTTTCAGCAGATGTTCTGAGAGCATAATGCAGTTCATCAAATAAATGCCATTTTAGATGTTATAGCTAGTGGCGTGTCTTAGAAACCAGGTAATGCTTTCATTTTACTGAGTGAATGTTCTCATATTTGCTTTTAAAGTGGGCAAGGATTAATAGTGTTCAAGGCTTTGTTTCACATTTCTCATGTGGTTTTATCTAAATCTAAATAATGAGATATCTTACAAATGCACCTCACTCCAGCATTGTTGAAAACAAGATAAAAGTAAAGATGTGTTGAATGTAAACTCAGATTTCTCATTGTAGAAAACATGAAAGATGGCATTGCTAATGCAGAAACTCCATAATTTAGCACATGGAGAAAAAGGAAAAGTTTGAGAAACATTTTTCAGTTATCTATTTAGTTGAAATGAAACATAAGCTATCAAATTTTCTGAACTGTTCTGAGCAGTGGTAAATGTTCCCTAAACAGAAATTTTATTATTACGTAGTCTACAATGAGCAGTTTCTTAAAACATTTATATTAGCACCTTGTACAAAAAATATACTGTTGAGATTTCTTTAAAGTTGTGTTTGGTTCTTAACTTTTAAATAGTTTACTGTTCCTCCTCTTAGTTAATCTTTGAAGAGTTGACAAAAAAAATCACGTTATAATTTGCATATATATATATATATTCACATCGTAACTCATTTTTTGATTAGTTTTTCACTTCTAATTTGTGTTACCATATTTGATTTCTAAGGTTGAATTTCCTGATTCGTTTCACGATTGCTTTAAAGTTCAAAATCTTTATTCTCCAACAGTTGTAATAAATTTTAATCTTAATTTACAGAAGTACCATTGAGGGGAGAGAAAAAATTCAACTGGGAAATTGTGACAATGTATTGTACATGTAACGTTTTACTTTTAACTCAGCTCAGGATCATCCTGAGTAATTGATATATGAATCTTAGCAGCAAAAGGAAAAAAACTCACTTTTTAAACAATTATTCTACTATACCTCTTATGAGGTGTACAAGTTGATATGCCTTAAAATAAGAACTTAATAAAGACGGGAAATCCCTTTTTCCTGCTATAAGAATAGTATATTTCTTAAGATTTAATTTACAGTTGTCTTATTCTTAGATAATAAAGTTTCAGACAGTTAACCAAAATAAAGTCAATTTTACTACTGTGTGTGACACCTGTCAGTGTAAGCTAATTAGGTATAAAGTAAACAGTTTACAAAATAATTACCTCTTACACTACATACATATTCAGATCTCAAGTCTACCTTTACCCATCCTATAGCTCTACTTGGATTGTAAAAGAATGACTAACTAAAGCCAAATTATTATCCATTATAAAGTACAGTAGATAGCTAACTTAAGTAAAGGATAAATCAAAAACCATTCTCATCTGTTTTCTCCATGCCGTTGATGTCTGCTACTACATAAACACTTCTGCCTATACTGTGAATGGGCAGGGATTGTTTCTCATTATCTTCAGTATTGAATTTTTGAATTTGTATAAATATAACCCTGGTAAGACTGCAATCTCGGCATGGAGTTTTTATCACCCATAAAAAATCTGAAAACTTCCTAATAGATCAGGTTTCTTTAGTACTAGGACTGTGTTTTATTTCATGTTAAATCCTCACAGCTCGTAATACAGTAGGGCCTACTCTTTAAGTGAATGGGTAAGCGAATGAATAGAAACAGCTTATAGTAAAAAAGACTTTTCTGACTCTTGATCTGGTCTTTAGTTTTTCTCCTTATAGGTGGGTTTTGGTGACATAAATTTGTTTGAATTTCATATATGAATAAACAGAAACTGACCACAGTAAATTGAAAAGTCAACAGTTAGTTCTGAATTCTGGTATGACGCAGGTTAAGCATTGGACTGTGAACCATAAATTTGGCACTTCAAGTCCACCAGCCACTCCTTGGGAAACCTATACAGCAAGAGTGGGGAATGTCCGACCCATGGGCCATATGTTGTTGTTAAGTGCCATTGAGTCGGTTCCAACCTATAGTGACCCTGTATAGGGTTTCTGAGGAGCAGCTGGTGTGCTTGAACCACCGACCTTGCAGTTCAAATGGCTTTGCAGTCTGGTGCATTAACCCACAGTGCCATACCAGGACACCCACGGGCCATATAAGGTCCACAAAATCATTTAGTTTGGCTCTGCCAAGGCAACCACAGTTCCAGCCATCCCATTGTTGTTGTTGTTAAGTGCTGTCGAGTTGGTTCCGACCCATAG